CGTCTTTCAACTTGTTAGTTTAAATTTCTTGGGATGTTTTTCTTCCCTTATTATTATTATTTTTTTTTTTTTGTTTTAATAAGAGACGAACTTTTCATTGATATATGAAAAGGAACCAAGGTGTTCAAAGATATAAACCGAGTGAAAGAGGAATAAAAAAGACAACCAAAACAAAAGTAATTACAAGTAAGAAATGATTCTCGAGGAGTGTTATTTAGTTATTAAAAGTAATTAGTTTTGGCATAGAAAGTACCGTTAAGAGACATTGATTGGAGCTTTAGTATCCCTGCTTCAAATATGATCTAACCCAATCATATTCACGTGGTAGAAGCAGATTAATGTGTTTTTAATATTTGAGTTTTAAGAGAGATTAGTTTAGTTGTTACAACTCGACCCAGACATTGCAAGGCTTGATTGAATGTTGCAATTGGTCCATTCAAGTAGGTGTGAATCTTGAATTGACCAACCCAACCAGTTTACACACTAGCTATGTTATCAAATTCTTATTTGTATACATCATTTTACTACTTTTATGTGCCTTCTATATTCCTGCCAATCTTTTAAATATAATTTTGCTTCTTATTACCAAAAGAAAATGTGCTTCCATACTTAGAAATCAATCCTTCATTGAGTTTCAATATATTTATGACTTGCAGTTTATATGGTATGAAAACATTATTATGCTTTGTAGTTGGTAGTTTTTAGAGGTTTATCTGCACATATATATATCTTATTTATGAAAATATTTGTTCTGCAATAGATGTGTATCCAATAATTTTGATAGTTTGACTCCTGAAAATTTTTTAGGTTCCATATTTTTTATGCATATTTTGTTTTATACATGATGATTTTACAAGAAAATTTTACTATACTCAAGTCTTCCCTTTCGGTGGGTTGTGTTTTTTACTGGTAAATTTTACTACTCGTCCTTTATCTCTCGTTTCTTAATTTCACCTTGTTTGGTTATAGGCTCATGGTAATAGAATATTTATAAAATTCTTAATAAAGATCTGATTTATTTATGGACATGCATAATCACAAATTGAGACGAATTATTGAAAGAGACTGCCACAATATGGTGGTTGTCTCCTAATAACTGTGGACTGAGATTCGTAATCTACATGTCCCCTATGAAAATAATAAATATTATTTTGTTTGGGCCTTGGAGGGTGGAGGGTGATTGAGCAGAGTCTGAAACTTTTATATATCTTTGTGATCTAATTACAATCTTGAAATTTGGAAGAGGAAGAATTTGATCGTTTTAACCAAAAAAAAAAAAGAAAAAAAGAAAATAGACAAAAGTAATGCTATATAGGTTAAAAGAACTAAATGATTATTGTGAAAATCTGAAGACTTAAAAAAAAACTTTCTGTTTTCTAACATATGTCAGTATCCATATATTAAATTTTAAAATAAGTAATATTTGTATAAATAGTATACAGTAAATATGTATTTTCAAATAATAGCAAAAAATTTAAATTAAAAAAAAATCAACAGAAACCTCAATATACACACTTAAAAAAGGGAATCCTAAACATTTAAATTAAATATTAAAATTATGCCATGAAGTTAATTTTTTTCTAAAATTAAACATGCAATAAGCAAACAGAACCGTGAAATAAGACAATATTTTTTAATTAAAAGACAATAATAATAACATATGGGTTAACTCATGTGTCTGAATTCTCCCACCTACTTGTTATACTTAAAAAACAAAAAAAGAAGAAAAAAAATAGAATTGTGTATTAATATTAATATTGTTGAACATTAAAGAGTAATAATAAATTCCTGAAATTTTTTACTTTTTAATCTCCCAATTTTGTGGCTTTCTGGTTTTCCTTCTCGGATTTACATGAAGGTAAAATCTAACTTGGTTACTACTGTAGCCCACAAGGTGTCTTAATGAAGTGCCTGTTAAGAAATGGAATCCTAAACATTTAATTTTATATTTCAACAAGTCTATTCGCTTTCAATTTTGTACCTAATCGTTTCTTTTTTTAATTCATGACTTTACTACACACAAAATTAAAAATTTGTAAATTATTAATTAAACATAACCTAATTAGATACGACCTTCAAATTTTAGATACTAAACTTAATTTACCCAAACATATATTACAAAAGTTAACAAATCTTCAAAACATTTTTCCCTTAATAGATTCCAATTTCTTGAAGTTTGCTTCATTAGGAGTTTGTTGGGAATAATGAAGGGAGTGAGTGATTATTCCTCTAATGGGCAACAAGAATTTGGTGAATTGTAGTTCAACTTCTAAGCCCATTTTCTTTGTTAATCTTTTGAAGCAAATGATCCAATCAAAATATATAGATAAAAGAATTTGCAAGTTCCATCTTTGTTCTTCACAAACTTAATTCAACAATGGCTCTCATGTTGTTGCGTTTTGCTAGAATCCCCATTTCTGCTGTTGTTGTCTTCTACCTCCTCAGTTCTTCCTATTTTTACGGTAATGTATTATTAAATGAAATTCAATCAATAGTTCATATCTCGTTTGAAAATAATTTTCAAAATCCTGTTTTTTGTTAAACAATAATAATTTTCAAGATCTATATATATAACATAAATTTTCAGGCTTTCTAACTTCTTCAAACCTCACAAACCCAAATTTATCACGACCACGAGCGAAGCATTCTATATATATATTTTATACTCTTGAGAAAACAAAATCAATTTATCAACTAAAATGCAGCTGTTGATAGGAAAGGGAGACGATGTGGAAGGCGATGGTGCAACAAGCGGTTCAATTGGTTACGAGGACCCACCCGAGATTGTTGCCAAAGCATTGCTTTGCTTCAATGACAAATATGTATGCCATACCAATGAATAGTTCAATGTTGTCAACAATATTTAGATGCTTATCGATTAAGCTAACCATCATTAAATTTTTGTTAGAGCTATTAAATTTTTAATCGTATTAAATTTTTAAATGATCGATTAAGTTAACCATCACTAAAAATATTTAAGTGCTTATGTTAGCACCTAAATATATATATAGCATTATTATGTTCTAATCATCATATTTTCAAATACTTTAATTAAATTTTTCTGTTATTTTTAGAATTTAAATTATTTGTTTCTTAAAAATGCAGATTTACAGGGCGTGTGAAGAATCGTGTAGATTAAAGGAGAGTGGGAATGTGGAGGTCCCAGTGGAGAAAACGGACGAATTCTGCAATGGGCCGTGTTTGGGTGAAACGCATTTAGTGCTTGATTGCATTAATGCCATTTTTACCAATTTCTTGTTTTACAATAGGGCCACTTTGCAGGATGTTAGGGACACCATCCAGGCTGGATGTGCCTATGGCCCACAAAGAGGTCATTTTTTTTTTCTTTTTAAATCTCGCCGAATATTTCAAAATGGTCCCTAATCTTTTAGAAAATTCTCAATCTAGTCATTCCAGGAATAATTATTAACAAAAAGTTACCAAGAATTTAATTTAGTGGTAATTGATATGACCAATAGGTTCTGAGTTTGAATTCCAACCTTCCTGTTGTACTAATATATATATATATATATATATATATATATATATAAAACCAATATGGTTAAAATATATATAAAATGTGAAAATGCTATTTGGATGCTACATGATCCATAAAACCCAATTTGCTCGTCATAAATTTTGACCTAACCGTCAATAAAATTCATTTCTTCCTACCTATCTAAATATGTAATTGTAGCAATAATCTAATGAAACATTGACTATTTTAATTCATTACTAAAATAATTTTTCTTTTTACCTAAGAATTTTTAATGCATTGATAGTAAACTTGAGAGTTTTGAAAGATAATGACCCAATTAAGAATTAATTCCAACATTATAGACCATTTGATATATTTAACCTATTTGACCAATAAATTTTAGAGTTATGTCTAATCGGTTCATGAATTTCGAAAAATATATAATAAATCAATAAATTTTCATTAAAGAAAAAGAAGTCCGTCAATGTAGGTTTAGCTCGACGATTAAAACAACTTGCTTCTTCACTAGAGGTCGTAGTTTTAATCCCTGATAAAGAAGTGTTACTGCAGGAAACTTCGATGTTACAAAGCATATAAGGGCTGAAAGAGGCAAAGCTTGCAGGGCTTCCAACAACGCAGTTCTTGGATTCAGCTTCATAATTTTAGGCTTTTTTTGTTCATTGCTTTGAAAACCTATCATCAATTTCTCATTCTCTTACCTTGGCTTGTATCAGTCAGACATAATGTATGAAACGAAATATCAAGTTACGTGCATGTTTAGTGTGATCATGTATTTTACAAAGTATATTTTAATAATTATTGAGTGTTTTATAAGAAAAAATAAGATATTATATATTAATTAAAAAGAGATATTTTATTTTAGTTTTAAGTCTATCCATCTCAATTCTCACCATTTGTGAGGCTATGGACATCAACTTAGGTTTTGGCTTCAATTTGGATCTTTCATCAAATCTATGAAATGGGCCGTCGCTCATCATCGCCTACTTTCTTTTAGTTCTTAAACTTTAATTTGTAACGATCTAGTCTTTACGCTTTCAAAATTTTAGTAGGTTGCAAGTTATGCAGTTCAAAATTTTATTCTTATCGTTATTATTAGAGATCAATGTGTTTATAAATTACATAAATTAAATAGTTATATAATAAATATCAACGATGCTTAATTTTAATATATTCACAGCAAGGACTAAATTGTTACATATTTTAAAATATAAGGACTAAATTATACATATTTTAAATCATAAGGCCTAAATTGTACCTACTAAAACTGATGGACTAAATTGTTATCAATTTAAAAGTATAGAGATTAAAATGTTACTTCAATGAAAGTACGACGACTAAAAGTATTTTCTAACCAAGATAATATATACAAGCAAATGTGTAAATCGCCGAATTTGATTTATTTTGTGAGGTGTCCTATAAATATACCATTTTTGCTTACAATTTGTTTCTTTTTCAATAATTATAAACTTTATTTACATATAAACACCTACTTATTTAGAAGCTAAAAATACTTCAAAACATATGGTAGTAATAGCAAATGAAATAAAATAAATATAAAATAACGAATAGCGAAACAAAATAGTATCCCTTTCAAAAGAGAAGAAAAAAAAGAAAGAGAAAAAGAAAAGTAAGGGAATAGTATCTAAAGGACAGTATAAATTAAAGAGAACTAATTTAGAAAAAAGAAAAAGGTTAAAAATGACTGGCCGAGAGCAGAGTTTTATGCAGAAAACTACATGTCGAGTAATGATTCGACATATCGGTACAACGGAACTTGTTGCGTCAAGGAATTGCGTGAGAAGTCAAAAGCGAGCGCGGTGATGAGTCGTGAGCCGAAGCCCTCTCGGAAAATTCACGGCCATGCCCGAAAGCCCCATCCTGCACCTCACCATGTCGACATGCTGATTACGAGCTTAAAGTTCAATTTCTACGGCCCCACGTTGATTCTTCGCGCTTAAGTAACAAAATCTGGTTTCCGAGAGACGGACTGATTCTTAGACGAACTTCTGTTGGGAGTTCTACCGATTGATTGCTAAATTTTGTCTTCAAGAGAAGATGAAGATCAACATCGATAGGGAGGCGCGAAAAGTTACGGTTGATAGTCGAATTCCCCTCCGGAATTACTATCGGATCGCTGATAATCTATTAAAACAGGTGATCTTTCCGGAACCCTTCTTCTCGATTGTTCCATTCTCACCATTTTAGTTTTTTTTTTTTTTTTTNTCCTTTGTTCTGACTGATTTTTTTATGCTGAATTGGTAATGGTTTATTAGAAATTCTGCCAATCTCTATTTATTTCTCTACATTTTTGGTTATTGAAGTGATTTCGACGGTTCATAACTTGTCGAATGGAAATTTTCTATAATGGCGATTTGAGTATAGGAGTGCGTATAGGTTGCGATGGAACCATTTTTTTTATGTTATTAAGTTGCTTCCTTAAATTGGCAGGCTAGTATCTATCGGGAGGAGAATAATGTCGTGGATTTGTTCATCATACTTCTTAGGTTTTCAAGGTAAGGGACATGTTGATACTTGTATTTCCATGGCCAATGGATGTCGATTGTTAGTGTGGGAAACCCACTCTTTAACTTGTTATTATTTTCCCAGCTTGGTTTCTGAAACTATACCACGGCATCGAGATTACCAGATATTTTTCCCAAAGGAAAAGATATTTTATAAGAAGGTGAGTTAGAATTCAACATCTCTTTCTCCTTTTTGTGCATTGTGTATGAATGTTGTGTCATTTCATCTTCATTTTGTCCTATCAGAAACTGTTAAATGTAGTAGATGAACTCGAGTCCTTGAAGCCCGAATTTGATTGCCGAGTAAATGAACTGGAGAAAGTGCATGCACAACCTCGGCTTCCTCCTCCAGATGATCAGGACAGAAGCTCATATACTCTCGGGCCATCTTCCATGGAATGGCCCTCTGTGAATAGAGATTATTCATTGGTTTTGGACAGAAAGCAGGTATCGACTCAAAATGTTTGAATGATACTTTCTTCGTTTGTAACTATTTGACCCATCAATGGCAATTCCACTAATTATTTGGAATTTTATTTTACTTCTAGTCTTTTGCAGTTTCTATTTTTTGCATTTTCATCTATGAATACGTGATTATTGTTACCATGAACATGTGATTACTGTTATGTTATTCTTAATTTGATTTCACTCTGTTAATCCTCACCCTCCCCTCTCCTCATTATTCTCAGCATGCCAGTTTACAGCCACAATCTTCATGGAGGTATAACCATGACCAGGGTCAAGTTTCACAATCAAGCTCCTTTAAGATTGCGAATAAGTTCCCAAACCTGTAAGTATACTTTTTGTACATGTTTATTATGATCCATTAGCGATGCAACAGTTCACCCCTCTGGGTGGAAAATAACCTTTTGATGATGTATGGGGGTAAATCACCCTAAAACTTTTATTCTAGTGTACACCAGAAGAAAGTGATTTTTTAGTTCAAGTAGCTGGTCAGTGGTCAGGGAGTAGAAGACAAATTGTAATGACTACATCTTGCATTCTGAATATAGCTGACTGAAAAAGACAAAGTATATTGTTGATGTTGAGTTCTTCTGCAACTGGTCTCTAGATTGCATAAAAAGATAGTGTCTTTTGCACAAGGGCTATATATTGTCATATCTTGAATGCCTGTGTCTTCTTCATATGATGCTCCACTTGGATCCTATGGAAGCCATAAGAATACAATTCTAGGCATACCTATACAGTCACCACTTTTCATAAAACATTCACGAAGAATCTGATAATTAGCACTGGGAACGTGCAGGTCTCTTAATGTACCACTTCCGAAACCCGAAACTTTGTCTCGACATTCTATTTTGGGACCCAGTGGTCTTCAGGGCCAATGGAAGGGACCGAGCACAGATAAGGTGAATTTTGCACATTCTCTTATATGTTGTTTCCTGTTGTTTTTGCTTCCATTAACAGGTTAATTCTATGGTTCTGTACAGATTCACTATCCAAGAAATCAGGACTTTACTCCTGAAGATCCAAGGTTAGAGGCGTGTATAACTTGTATTAGTATCTTAAAGTTTACACATATTTTCTCATAAAAAAAGTTGCATATCTTTTGTCATCTGTGTTGAATTTTTACCTTCCTGATGACAAACACTTAATGAGACTTGAGAGAAATATTTGATTTCATTATTTTACTTTTTATCCGATCATGTTTTCTTGAAACATCTATCTGGAACCTTCAAATCCTTACAGACTGAATCAAATTGAACAATGTGATCTAGTGGCACATAAAGATAACTATTCAGGAGGTCTTATGTCGATGATGGAGTCGGTGCTTTCACTGGATGATGGTAGATGGCCACATCCTGCAGACATGTCTACTCCTCCGTTGATAACAGAAGTAAGGGAGGATCCTTTCCCATTGGTCAAACAACCTTCTCCTCCTCCTGTTCTTGCTAAGGTTCAGCAGGAGTATGCGACAATTCCCCCATCTAAAGTCGCGGATCCAAGGCCTGGAATGGCAAAACAATCGCAGGATGGGCCTGACTCGTTTCAACGTTTACAAATTGTAGGCCTTTTCACTTTGATTCTCAGTAGATAATTTCAGAAAGCAATTATTTGTTTGCTAATTTCTTTTGTCATGTCCTACCCTTGCAAAATAATGTGTACACCTTGCAATATGATATTATTACTTCTCCTTTATGCTGCAGCCAGTAAAAATGCTGGATGATTTCTTGAGAGTGGCTCGAGAAAATACAAATAAAAACCTGGAGACTTGTGGTGTTTTAGCTGGCTCGCTGGTAAGAGCAAATTAATGATTTAATGTAAAAAAATTTAAGATTTTCTAGTTGGCAAGTATCATTCTCATACTTCATCATTAAATTTTTGCAGAAAAACAGGGTTTTTTACATATCTACGCTCATAATCCCAAAGCAAGAATCAACATCAGATTCGGTAAGAATATGATTACTTTTTTTTTCCAAGGTTAGATTAGCCATTTCATCATCCACATTATTGTTTTTACTACTCTTGAATGTTTGGTTCCCATTTGACTGGTGATTATACTAGATTTAAACATGTAACGTGGAAGTAGGTTGTACGTATGTTTGAGTTCTAGTTGTTTTATATTCCGAGTATTTTTTTTATTACTTTAACGTGCATTTCTATGATACTTGTCCATACAATGGTTATAAATTTATAATTGACTTGAAGATTAGTTGATTGAGCTTAGTTAGTTATCACTTATTTTTATTGCCTTTAATTAATTCTTAGAATCATTTTGTAATGCTCAGTGCCAAACGTTGAATGAAGAGGAAATATTTGAAGTTCAAGACAGATTATCACTTTTCCCTCTTGGTTGGATCCATGTAAGCTTTCTGGCCCTCCATGCAATAGATGGATTATGCATGCTGAGTTATTGTATCGTTTTGTATTTTACATTCAGTCTAAAGATAAAACTAAAAGAAAAACTTTTTCTTGATAGGAAGTTATGCTAAGTTATTGTGGAATTTTGTATTTAAATCACTCTTTCAGTGGTCATCTCATAGTTCATCTGATTGAGCCTATCTGGTACCTTGTGTTGTTCCTTGGCTAATACTTTCCAATTCTTGCACACGTTTAAACTTCAAGGAATTTGTAAATAGGGGGACTTAAAATTAATACCATACACTTACTATCCTGAACAGCCTTATCTTTATAAATTAATAAGCTTTGGCATTATTTCAGTTAAAAAGTTGACTTGCTATGCAGTGATATACACATGCTCTTTGTAATGCTGGAAAGTAGAAGAGTGAGATGTAACTTTCAATATAGATGTCCTTGAGCAAATATAAATTTGTGACTTCAACATTTTTGTACGGCACGTACCGTTTACTGCAATTCAAGAATCTTTTTTTTTTTTTTTTTTTTCCAGTCTCTGATTTTTGTTTGGTTCTCAGACACACCCATCACAGACCTGTTTCATGTCATCTGTGGATCTGCACACTCATTACTCCTACCAGGTAATATAACAAAACTGCTTTAGTTACTTTCATAACATAGAAAGTTGCATCATCATGGAATGAAGGTGCCAATTTGTAAAGATATTAACCTCTACAATTTGTGGTTTTTCCTGTTTGCATTGTTTGTTCTTCCTGTTCTAGTTTTTTTACCCTCTTTTAAGTAGTTTTTGGTCTCTTCAGATTATGTTGCCAGAAGCAATTGCAATCGTGATGGCTCCTACTGATACGTCAAGGTATTCATTCAACTTATTAGTAGTTTCAGTATACCCAATACTCAGATCTTGTATAATTTGCTAATGTGTCCCATTGCCATCGCAGTCCATATGGCATATTTCATCTGTCTGATCCGGGTGGCGTGTCAGTCATCCGCAACTGCCAACAGCGTGGATTTCATCCCCACGAGGAGCCTGAAGATGGGAGTCCACTCTATGAGCACTGCTCTCATGTTTTGATGAATCCCAACTTGAAGTTTGACGTCGTTGATCTGAGGTAGGCTTTTGATTGCTGACCCTATTTGAGGGAACTTGTATAGCACCATGGAAATACATTTCAAGAAGATTCAAAGAAGGAATGAAAAGAAGAAAAAAAAAGAAAACTCGCCCTGACGACAACTCTGTAAATTTTTCTGAGTTTTTCTAATTTGCAAATCGACATGAGTTACACTGCCATTGTTGCGAGACTTCAGGTGGCCAACGATGCCGAAGATCTCCTTGATTAAAATTAAGGCTTCTCTTTGTTGAAAGAATAGCCTATGTTATATAATGTACATGATAGCTTCATTTATTTCAAAGTTTAGCCCTTACATCATACTGGTTTACGTTTGTTTAGAAATTAGAAGCATTGTTCTTTAGGGTTAAAGCTCACGTTTACAAATGTTTGCCTGTAAACTTGCGTTGTAGATCCTATTTTATGAACACGTGTTGAAGAGTGTTGCTTTTTCTGAGAAAGTTTCAGAGTGTGTTTGTCATGAAACATGTTTCTCACACACACACACACACATATATATATTTTGAATTTGATCGGCATGTGCTGGCTACATTATTAAAGTACGAGTTTGTTCCTAAATTTTCAATATTGTGTTTAGTTTTAATAGGTCTTTGATATTTGAAAATTTTAATAAATTTATGATCGGTACAATATTCTCTTTTGTATTTAATAGATCCTTTAACTTTGAACATAAAATACATCACTAACTTAATTAAATATTGTGAGTTTTAATTTTTTTTTATATATTCTAAACTTATTCGACACAACATTTAAAGATTTTTGTTTTTTTTGGTTAATTTATAGGGTTGTGAGATGATGTTTATGAGTAGTGCTTTTAAATTAAGAATTTAAAATTTTATTTTAAAATAATTTTCAAAAGTTTTTTAAAAATGATTTTCTTATAATAGTACTTTAAAGTGAAGTTAATTTTCATAACTTAAAAAAGAAACGGGAGAAATATTGGTTCCACTTTTTCATTAGATTAGAGTGGAGAAGGATTTTAACTTTCGAGAGTACATACTTAGCTACTGAGTTATTATTCTCATATTAACCTTTTATTATAAAATTAGCATTTGTTGTCATTTTCATCCAACCTGCCATGTCTGGACTATATGTGTGTGTTTTTTACTTTTCTATAAAATTTAATGGATGGGTTTGGATGTCTAAAATTTATAATATTCAATTCACCGGAATGTAAAAAAATGTTATTTATAATTAATTTGAATATAATTCAATTTATTAAGACGTATATCATCGACTAAAAAGTTAGAGATTCTCGTAGGACTAACAAAAATGTATGGTATATAATTGGTCCTATGATTTGCAGGAAGGGGGTCAATTTTGGTCCAACAACATTATGATTCAATATTCATATTTCTTTTCATCAATTAGTTTTTTTGACACATCATCATAAGAATAAGAAGATTAATTGGGCAAAACTATCAAGCACAGTCGGTAAGGATCAAAGGAGATCTCATTGTTGCATAGCTCAGGTCATAGCAACGCGCCAATTAATTAGTATTATCGACTTGAGCATATTTCAACTGATTAAAATATACATCATCGCTCAAAAGATTAGAGGTTCGAGTCCACACCCTACATATTGTTTTACTAAAATAAAAATATATTATTACCATCAAACTTCAGTTAATGAGTTGTGATATATATGATACACAAAAAAATCTTTTGAGAATAAATATGAAACAACAGAAGTAAATTACATAAATTACCTCTACATCTCCCAATCCAAAGCTTTTACCTATCTTTTTACCTATCTTATCTTTGATATTAACTTTTCTTATGATATTACTGGATGAGATAAGAATTTATATAACTAATGGAGGTATAGTTTAGTGGTTAAAACATCTCGTTCATTTTCTTAAAAGTTAGAGGTTCAATCCTCAGTCCCCACATTTATTTTACTAAAAAAAAATTATAATTATAAGAATATATATTGAGCAATAGGTTATCTATTATCATAGCATTGATGGAGGATGTCACCAGTTTAGAACAGATGTAGGTTTTGTAGCCGTCCATTAGACCACCATTTTAGACGTAATTATTCATAAATGGCTAAAGTTTATAGTCCAAGCCCAATTTGCTTAATTAGATTAAAAAGTAATTAAAACGAAAAACCTACATAGAATTTTTATTAAATTCTTATCTCAAAACGAGAACCACATTTGATCACTGTAAAACGAGAACCACATTTTTAACATTGCATTAATTAAAGTTGGAACCAGAATACATAGAATTTTTATTAATATTATTTAGGTTAAAAAACACATTTGATCACTGTACTTTTACTAAAGTAACAATTTAGTCGATAAACTTTAATTTGTAATAATTTAGTCCCTGTATTTTCATTAAAGTAACAATTTAGTCTCTGAACTTTAGCTTGTAATGATTTAGTCCCTCTAATTTAAAATTTATAACAATTTAGTCCCCATTCTAACAAAATTTATTAAAATTAAATGTTAAATTTTATCGTATAACAATTTAATCTTTTTAATTTATAAACATATTTGGTCCCTTTTAGTTTATCAATCTATATATATATAAGAAACTTAACAAAAAAGTTTCACAATAAGCTCAACTTTAAATTACAAGGATTAACTTATATCAAGACTAAATTGTTGCCACTTTGAAAGTACATGAACTAAATCGTTACAAACTAAAGTTCAGGAACTAAATTGTTACTTCAGCGAGAGTACAAGGACAAAAAATGTTTTTTAACCTATTATTTATTAGTGTACTGAGAACTAAATTTAAGTTGAGTAGCCTTAAAGAAATTGACATATATCTTCAACCAACCGATTTCGATCCCCACCCCATATATTTAAAATAAAGAAAAACTTAAAATGCCATCCATACTCAACAAGAATAGAAAAAATAACTAATATAATGCAATGTAAATGATATTTCACGTGTACTATGGATAGATAATCAATCCGATTGGTTATCAATTTCATTATGAAATTTACGAATAAAAAAAATTGTAGATTCTGAAGTGTAAAGTGTAAATAACTATGCATTTTGGTTCCAAAATTTTCATTAAAGTAACAATTTGGTTTTATAGTGTTTTTTTAAAGTAAAAGGCGATATTTATAAATATAAACGAAAAAGAAAGGAAAAGTTGACATAAAAGTAAAAAGAAAAAAAAAGAATTATATTGAATAAAAATGAAAAAAACAAATAAAAAGAGATAATTTCCTCACTAGTAATTTTAAGGTTGAAGTTTTATTTGGCTGTATGCACTCCCAATTTTGGTTTAATTTAGTTATCATATTTTTAACTTTTGTTAATTCTAGTTCCTCTCATTTCAAAACGTCTATTTTGGTCCTTGTAAATTTTAAAAGTGATCATTTTGATCCATTTATTTTTATTTTTATCTCACTTTTTTTTATCAAAATTTTAACATTATACTTTATTCACTAAAATTCTTGAAATGTAGTCATAAATTTGTATTAAAAAATTTCTTTTGTATATAAAATAATAAAATATGTGTTAAAATTTTACAAATAAGGATAAAATCAATCACTTTTTAAAAAGACATAGAGACAAAGAAACCACGTTTTCATATATAAAAAATGAGTGATTAAGAAATTAAAACTACGGGATTAAAATTACCTAAAGTAAAAAAGTTATAGTAACAAAATATTATTTAAACTTAATTTAAATTATAGAAACATAAGTAGGGTTTAGGATAGGTTTTGTTGGATGGGCGTAGCTAAAAAAAGTGATTTAATCATTCGAAAAGAAAAATTCAAAAATAGAATTAAAGAGTAATGAAACGTTGGAAGTTGACGTATTGGGATCTCCAACCTCAAATGGAATTTCAATTACATTGTAAGGGCAAACATGACCATAAGAATTTTTAGGCTCTCGTAGCTTCAATTGCACTGCCAACCAAAACTGCTTATATATATATATATATATATATATATATAAAATAGCCATTTTCATTGCTAACGCTTAGTCGTACTGCGCTACTGCCCGCTTCTGCCATTCACGAGCTTTTCCACTAT